AAATGAAACAGATTGCAAGTCTCTGCGCAAGCTCAGGGGCAGTATAGCGAACCTTCTTAGTAGAAGATCGTGATCGACTCCCCTCTCAGGATAGAGACCGTCCTCCCTGAACGTTAGATACTTTAGTAACCTTCTCTGCACACTCTCAATGGACTGAGTGTGGCAGTGATAAATTGGTGACCATATCAGTGAACCATAGTCAAGCTTGGACCTAACGTAACAGTTAAATAACAATTTAACAGTAGCTGAGCTACAAAAATGCCTGCAATTTCTTATTACGAATCCTAAAATTTGCATTGCACTGGAAACCATTTTTGTAATGTGAGGTACAAAAGAGAACGACTGGTCAAATAAAATTCCCAGATCCGTAACAGTAGCAAGTCTAGTCAGGACAGTACCATCCATATTGTAATTAAAGACTACAGGAGTTTTTGTGCGGTGGTAAGAAACCACATTACACTTGCTGATGCAATTTATTTCTGGTACACCATTGACTGACAATACTGATGTTGTCCTGGAGAGTCACGCAGTCCATGCCAGTTTCAATGCTCTCCTATAGCTTTAGGTCATCCGCATAGGCAAGCTTGTTGCAGATGATCGAAGATACGAGATCATCTATAAATATATTGAAAAGCAGAGGTCGAAGGTTAGAACCTTGAGGCACGCCAGAAGTTGGAACAAAAGGAACTGATCTAAACCCCTCAATCTCAACAAACTGTCGACGATTCACCAAATAGGACCTCAACACTGTAATCAGCGAATCAGAGAAACCAAATTTATGAGATGCTTTTTCAATCAGTAAGTGATGATCTATCTGGTCAAATGCTTTGTGGAAGTCAGTGTATATAACGTCAACTTGACCTTGCTTGTTCAGAGAGTCACAGACATACGAAGACAGGGAGCATAAGTTAGTGATACATGATCTTTTCGCATAAAAACCATGTTGTTGGGTAGATAGTTTATTTCTAATTTGAGCAAAAATAAATTTATTTAATATAATCTCGAATATTTTAGAAAAGTTGCACAAGATCGAAATAGGCCGGTAGTTTTCAACAACAGAGGGATCACCTTTTTTGAGAATAGGATAAACTTTGACATATTTCCAAGGCTCTGGATAAACACCCGTCTTAAGTATCAGGTTAAAAACGTGACATAAAGGAGCACACAGTGCGTGGGAACAGTCTCTCACGATAAAACTTGGTATGCTATCAGGACCAGCGGTAATTTTGTTCTTGAGTGCTTTGCTTGCTGACAAGACATCCTGGATAGTAAGCTTAGGTATGTTCACTAGTTCCGGATTAGAGGACACGCCTGAAGATGAACATGGATCTGGCTGGGATATGGTGTAAACGCTACCAAAGTACTTAGCAAAAGCTGCAACAACCATATTAGGTCCTTGGCATGGCTGACCAGAATAGGACATCGAGGCTGGGATTCGCGAATCTGCCTTCTTCCGCTGAATAAATGACCAGAAATTGGTAGGACTATCATGTATACTTAACTCAGCACGACAAAGAAAATCAGTATAGGCAATGCGTGACTGGAACTTGATTGACTTGCGTAGCGCGGTATATCGGCCAAAATAATAAGCAGATTTGTATTGCTTGAAATTGCGGAAAGCTTTCTCCTTCTCAAATATAGTTGCGATCATTTCTTTAGTGAACCATCATGGAAAGCGCCTTCGTCTCGGTGTTTTAGTGGGCGTGCAAAGGGCAAAAATATTGTTTAGCATGTCGTAAAAAAGTGTTAGAGCCCTGTCTACATCCGAGCACTCCATAACACTATTCCAGTCTGCATGCTGCATCAGTTCATACATATGAGGATAGTTGGCCTTCCTAAAGTTAAATTGGGTTTGATCATTCCTATTGATTGGAAAATTAGAGACGTGTGGAAAAGCGACTTGGAGAGAAACTATTAACGAGGGATGGTGTGGATCCTCGTCGATAAGTGGTACTGCGTTTCTCACTATCGCAACGTCGAAATTGGTAAAAACGAGATCTAAGCAACGGTGATTTAGGTTAGTTACAGAGTTTTGCTGTTTAAGATTCAATATGGCGCTGAGGTTGAGTAGGGATCTATGTCGGACATTGACAGGAGCTGAAACAGTGAAAGAAGGAATATTGAAGTCACCCAACAGCAAGACAGATCCACCAAACAACAAGTCCAGCGACGACAAAGATTCAAAAAAGTTCTCAACTTCGAAGTTGGCAGCAGTGGGAGGAATGTATACTAAAAATACATAAAATACAAAGTACTCTAAAGAGATCTTACAGCCTAAAAAGTCTATGCTTGGAGCACTGTTGCTGATGCCGGAGGTATCCAGAAGTGCGGACTCAAAACTGTCACGAACAGCGAGCATGACACCACCGCCCCTGGAGACTCCGGTTAGATCTTGCCTTCTGTCTGAGCGGTAGACCAGATAAGAATCAGGAAAGAGTTCAGTGTCCCGAAAATCTGGTTGAAGCCAGGATTCAGTAACAGCAACGATATCATACCCTGAGGAAGTTACGCCACTGTAAAAGACTAGTTCTGAGACCCCGAACGTTCTGGTACATACAGGTCAATTCTTTGGCTGGGGTGGCGGCGGAGCTGGGTTTTTTGTAGCGATAGTGGGAACACCACGGATGTATTTTAGAACCAGATTGTTTTCACCATTCGAGCGACGATGTTGCAGTTCTTCTTTAATATTCCGAATATGCTTACGTTGCGCCGGAGAAAGATCTGCCTCGACGTAAATTTGGTGATTCTCAGCGAGGGTTCTCCTACTCTTCAGCACAAGTGACACGTCGCTGGGTTTAGACAGCGTCACTTTAACTGGCTTGTAGCCATTGCGGTTTGGTTTACCGACGGAAACAACAACAATTTGATAAATTTAACAAGAAATAGAAAAAATAATATGTATATAAACATATGTTTATAGAAAAAAAAAATATAAATAAAAATATTTGCTTCAGTTAACAGTATACACTATATTCTTGGGATATGCGATAGAAATTCCTCAACTGAGTAAAAACCATAACTAGAAAGGTAGCTTCTAACCGATAACTTAAATTTTCTTATCGAAAATTGCTTAGCGTTAGCTTTATACAAGCGGTTATAGTTGTTCACAAATATGTTATATATGTTCAAATTTAGTTTATTTTTCTGAGTAGTGGCTAATCTAGACTTAAGTGGAACAATATTGATAGATCCGCGTGTGTCGTAGCAGTGGTAGTCACCATGAGTAGGATACCTCTGCAAACCAGCATGGACCTCCAGAAGGTTGTAGTATATGAATAGGGAAGGCTGAGTTAGAATCTTAAATTTAATAAAAAGCTCACGACAATGTGCTCCAGGAGGAGCCCCTTGGAGAATGCGAACTGCTGCCTTCTGAAGCCGAAAAACCCGATCAGCATATGAAGAGTTACCCCAAAGAAGCACGCCATAGGTCAGATGACTGTGAAAGAGTGCAAAGTAGATAGTCTTTAAGGTCTTCTGCGAAATGCAGTCTTTTAATTGCCTTAATGCAAAGATTTGAGACGAGAGTTTGGAACATAGATACTCGATATGAGCCGACCAGGTTAGGAAGGTATCGAGAAAGATACCTAGAAGCTTAGCAGGCTGTGACTTTACAGCTCTTTTGTTGGATGTTATTAGCATTTTTTTCGTCTTCGATGTGTTAAGTTTAAGTTTATTGGCGGCGAATCTATTTAATAATAATAATAATAATAATAATAATAATAACAATAATAATAATAATAATAATAATAATAATAATAATAATAATTATTATTATTATTGTTAACTAGAAGTTAAAGTGCTGCGTTGCTGTGTCCCCTCGTGTCCTAGCCAACGTTATTTTCTATAAAAAAAAACAATAAAATTTTATCTACACAGCACAGCGCCTACTATGGTAAATATCAAAATTTGCAAATATCTTTTAAACTATTTAATAAAAATAGGCTTATGGCACGTCGTTCGACAGGAAATTTTATTAGAAAACTGATTTTATAGAGAAATTGGAGATATCCCATTTAAGGAAATATAACTTTGTGTGATATCTCGGGAACTAAATGCTCTAAGATAAAACGGGTAAAATAGAGAGATTCCTGCTAAAAAACTTAAAAAAAAGTTTGTTTCCCAAAACTTTATTCTTACAATTAAAAAAGTTACAGAGGGCCCTTAAAATGTCATATTTTTGTGAATCACCCTCTAGCTCAAAAATGCCTTGAAATAACATTTTACTATGCCGTACTTTTCAAAGTTTTCAGACATTTTTATAGCTTGACGAGGACGTAATTTTTAACACTTGAGCTTGTGTATCATGGCAATTGTTTTTGTCTGATCATAGCTACTTAGGTAGATACTGTAAAACTGCATAGGCCAGAGTTAAGCACAGCCTACTATAGTAATTATTAAAAATTGCAGATATATTTCTAACTACTTAGTAAAAATAGGTGTATAGACCCATCGTTTGACTGGAAATTTTATTAGAAAACTAATTTAAAAAAAAATTGGGGTATTCCATTTTTAAAAAAGTAACTTTGAGACAAAATCGGTGTAATCGGTAGATTTGCCCTTAAAAAATCTGCAAAAAAAGTTTTTACAAATAAAAAAGTTATAGAGGGTTTTTAGAGACGCACATTTTTAAGAATCACCCTGTAGCTCAGAAACGCCTTGACATATCAAGATGCGGTTTTCAGTTTTTGAATTCTCTCGAAAATCGAGCCCCTAACATGCATATTAGTTTTGGGCTAACTATGCTCCAAATGCTTAAATCTATAGAGGCCCCTTGAATTTGAACCACCGTGTACATTTTATAACACAAATTTTTTTTGGAACTAATAACGCATCTGCCTAGCCCAGCATTTCTGTCACAATTTTTTGGAGCACTCTGTATATTCAATATCTTGTTGGCAATATCGGGAATAATTCAGATCAACCTATTTAATTGGTAGCCATTGTAATATACAATCTTAGAATGCGCATATTAAAATTTTCTTGCTATAATAACTTTTTAGGTTTTTTCAGATATCATTTTTCTGATATGTCTGAACGGGATGGGATTGTTTTTCCGATACATGAATGAAATCGTCCAGCGAAGGAGTTTCCTGGACAGGCGGGATTGCATAGTGTCGACATTTCAATTAAAACACGAACAGGAACAAGAAGTGAGACGACGTGTTGAAAAACTTTAATCGATTTTTATTGGTTTCACATTGCAGGAACAACTTATGTCGAGCATAATACCGTCGGCGCTAATTAACAGAGTTAAGGAGAACTATTTGCAAAATAAACAATACTTTCTTCAGAATAAAAAGATGAAAAGTCAGAATCCTTTCGAGTAAGTAACCTTTTACATATCTGATTAATGATTAGGACACCTTTAAGGTACAAACTGCTTAGAATAATTTCGTTTTCATCGATACAGGTGCCACTGAAATGTATGTACCAAATTTGAAATGTCTGGCTATCAAGATACTTGGTGTAAAAGATTCCATTCTAGTAGTTTTTTTATTAATACAGTGTTATAAATTTAGTGTAATAAGTGGCACCTTTAGTCTCAAGTAGATTAGAATTTTTAAGTCTAAAGGATTCCCAGGGGGATTTTCTCGCGGACATTATTGCAAAGAAAAATGTAGGCTAGCGATTTTTTAATACTATTTTCTTTCCGGAATTTTCTTCTTCATTTATTCACTTCATTTGTTCAAGTTTAATTTTTTGAATTTTTAATAATGTCAACAACAAAATAACTTTTATTGCGGATGAAAAATGAAACGCGATACAAAGAAAGGCAGGACGGCACTGGTAATTCTAATTTACTCGGGGTTTGCTATTACTACAAATAATACCTCCGAATGAATGTTTAAAACATTAATAAAAAAAAGCTGACTTAAACATTTGAATTTGGATTTCACGTTTTCCTATGACAAATGTAAATGATTATTATTGCAATCTGTAGCTTACGAAAAAATCTAAAATTGTTTCTTTTTAATATTTTCAGAAATTCTTTATTGGACGAACATGAGAATGTGACAATTTTATTCGCAGATATAGTCCATTACACCGAAATGACGAGCAAACTTAATATCAACGACTTGTTGGAGACTCTGAACGAACTGTTTGGTCGGTTTGACGACGCTTCCGAGGTAAGCTAAAGATTTGATATTTTCTTTTGTTCCACTGCACCAATTTCAGTTTAAAAAAATGGTTCGTATGTTTCCTCACTACGGAAATAAGTCTAGAGGACAGTCCATCTATAATTAAAATGAGAAAAAGTAGTGACGGTTTAAATAAAAATAATAAAATATTTATTTGAAGATGATTAGAGATCCTTATTGAATATTCAAGTGCGACTGTATTTTTTTTATTCTAAATTATGTTTTTACATTTTTCGATTTACTGTCTTTCTTCATATTATTTCGGCTTAAAATTATTTTTCTTTAGAATTAAAGTTTCAAATATTTCAATTCGTTAGAGCAGACTCGCAAAAACTAATAATAAAAATTTAACAAAAAAAACTATTTTTGTTTATCTTATCCTAGCATCACCACCAATCGCGGCATAGTATTTTATACAGGGTAAGTCGTAAAAGTGTGTCAACCAGGTAAGAGATTTTTGTGTGAAAATATTGTCGGTTTTATTTTTTTCCCCAGTCTTCCTAAAATACGGGCGTTAAACTTTAATTGTTTTTAAGTATTTAGTTGGGTCAGGTTACACTTTTCATGTTCATTTTGTAAATAAAAACTTCATACTAACAGAAATGGTTTAAAGAAGTCTTTGCATATTTTTTTAAGTCTTGTGTATTTTTGATGACAGCTGTAGTTTTGGTGACTTTTGGTTAGTATATAGTTTAAGTAGAAAAAATGACATATTTTAATAATAGTTTATCTTCGCTAATACAAATTCACTTTATGCCCTTTTAATAAGCGAAAAACAATTTTTTTGAAAAATATTGGTTCATTTAAATGCTACGGGAACCTACAAAATTCGCTGTATTAAATGGTGTATAAACAGGATCTGTCAGAAACCCCCTGAAACTGCTATCCAGAGAACCAAAGTCCGTTGATTTTCGTTTAAATTGCCATCAAAAATAAGTAAGAGAGAAAAAAAATATTCACAGTGATGAATCAGAATATCCTTATGCAAAAGTTTTTATTTATGGTAAAGTTGTAATTTTATTGGATTTAGGTGCCAATGGAATATTTTTGTGGGATAAAAGTTTAGAGCATCTACACGTGTTAAATATGAAAATCTATTCCAATTCAAAATTTTAGTGATACTTTGGTTAATAATGAGTTAGTTAATTGTGAAGGTTTTGCAATGTAACTAATTCAGTTACTACTCAAAAAATGCTTTATTAAATGAAATCAGCCTTAGGGTGCATAGAGAAAATTTTAATATGATGATTTAATCTAACAGGACAATTATGCATACCCACTTTCAACCATTATTTTAAAAATTAAATTAAAATCCTTGTATCTTTGCAACAAGGAGCGAAATAGAAAAATATTTTGACACAAAAATGGAATAACGGATTGATCCATTTTTTCAACTCACCCTGTATATTTTATTAAATATTAAGGAAAGTCTAGGCCTGTATAGTTTGTAAACATCAACTTATAATTCAATTATTTGGTAGTAGGCACTATGTTTTAATTGATTTTAGAGACTTGGGGTCATAAGAATCAAATTCTTGGGCGACTGCTACTACTGTGTCTCCGGATTGCCACCGAATCCGCCCCCGAATCCGGCAGAGGCGTGCGTCGATCTCGGCCTAAAAATGATTCGAATAATCGAGAGCGTGAGACAAGAACGAAATCTCAATATAAACATGCGGATCGGGATCCACACGGGCAAAATCATAAGCGGGATAATAGGGGCGGTGAAATACCAGTTCGACATTTGGTCGAAAGATGTCGACATAGCTAACAAAATGGAAAGCGAGGGCGTGGCCGGGTAAGTAAAGTAAGTCGTTTTTGCTGGGATCGGTGTTTCGAATTATATAGGCGCGTTTCAGCAAAGTGCACATTACGAAGCAGACCAAGGACTGTTTGCGAAAGCCCTACGTCATCGATGCCACCGACAAGGGTGGAACGGTGCCGCAGTTTAAGCAAAACAAAATCGAAACTTTCATCGTGTCCCCGGTAAGCCAAGTACCTTTTTTATCGACTACACGGATCTGGAAAATTTTATAAATATATTTTGGAAATAAGAGAATTAGGCTTTCTAAAAAAAAACTTTTGAATGATTTAGGTGAGCTTTGACATTAAAAAATATCTGCAAGTAAATACTAGTAAGGGGTGTTTTTTTTCGATGTATAGAAGTTTAAGTTGCAATAAAACAACGATGGATTATTCGATTGACATGAATTTTATATTCTATTTATCTTGGGGCATTACATTTTAAATATGATTTGTGGCATATGACCGCCACGGCTGGCGCGGATATGGTCCAATATGGACGTCTAATTTTCGATGACTTTTTCCAACATTTGTGGCCGTATATTGGCAATAACACGGCGAATGTTGTCTTCCAAATGGTCAAGCGTTTGTAGCTTATCCGCATTGGTATTGGTATTGGTATTGGTATTAAAGGGGGGCGCCCTCGCGGGCGTCCAAGCACTTAGGCCACCAGATGGGCCCGTTGTGCTCCCAGGCCGCTCTAGAGGGCGTCCAGAATGCCGCCCCTCCTGTAGAAGGTCAGCAACTCCTTTAGCCCAATACCGTGCACTGAGTCCGGATCGATCAGGGCCGTTCCGAAGACTCCCGATCTTGCCCATGTCAAGGCAGGGTACTCGGTGAGCAGATGATACGGGGTCTCCTCCCCTTCCATGCACCACCTACACTCCGGGTCGTCTCCAATGCCTAGCAAGCAGAGATGCCTCCTAAGCCTGCAATGTCCTGTGTAGGCCCCTGTTAGTGCTCTACACTCCATTCTGGTCAGTCTAAGCAGCTCCCTGGTCCGAGGAAGGGCGGGCCCATCCATCATAAGCCTCGCCTGCCTCATTCCCGGAGCAACTCTCCAGCCCCCCGCGGCCCGGTCTCTCGCCCAGGCTTCGAGAGTTCCCCGCCTCACACACGGGGCGATCCCCAAGCGGGGCTCTGGCCCTATATGCCTATGCGAGGAGCCCTCCCTGGCTAAGGCGTCCGCTGCCTCATTGCCCCGGACACCGGTGTGACCCGGGACCCAGACCAACGTAACCTTTCTCTCCTCAGCCACCCTCCTCAGTACCCCTTTGCACTCCTTTATCAACAAGGAGCGCGTACGCACTGACTTCAGCGCCATGAGTGCAGCCCTACTATCCGAGCAGAAGAAGACTCTCCTGCTTCCGTAGTTGAGCCGAAGCACCTCTCTGGCCGCCATCAATAAAGCGAAAATTTCCGCCTGAAACACAGTGCAGTACTGACCCAGAGGGACCGACAAGCTTGATCCCGTTGTCTCGCAGTACGCTCCAGCTCCGGCCAGATCTCCCATTGTGGACCCGTCCGTCTACCAGATAAGTCCATCCCAGGAGCCGACTCTGCCCTCTCTCCAATCTTCCCTTGATGGAAAGAGAAAGGTCAATTTATCAAAGAAGGTCATCTCGGGGATCATGACGTCACTCGGCATGCCCATGACCCCGCGATCCCCGCGACAGCCCTCTAAAATGTCGTACGGACCCCGATTGAAGGTTCCCTCCCTCCAGAGCCCGCAGCTCGCCAGCCTCACAGCTGTCCTGGCCGCCTCCATCTGCACCCGATCCGCCAGAGAGGGCAGCCCCACCAGAGCCTCCAGGGCCCTCGTGGGCGCCGTTCTCATGGCGCCCGTTATGCAGAGGCAAGCCAATCTCTGCAGTCTGTCAAGAACTAGCCTTGCTCCCGCTCTTTTGGTCCCCGGCCACCATGCCACTGTCCCATGCGTGAGCATAGGCACCACCATGGTACCGTAGATCAACTGCATGATCTTCGGCCCCAGGTCCCAAATGCCCCCTACCGCTCTAAGGCACGCCCACAGAGCTCCATAGGCCGCCCTGGTCCTTGATCTTATATGTTCCTGGAAGGTTAACTTAGAGTCCAACCATACGCCCAAGTACTTGACACTTCCGCTTGCAGAAAGAGGCACCCCATCCATCGAAATGTTGAGGTTGCACTCCATCTTCCTTTTCCTAGTGAAGATGACCATCTCCACCTTGCCAGGATTGACAGCCAACTTGCTGTCCAGGCACCATTGTGAGAATCTTGTAATATCCCCGTGAAGATGTTATTGCGGGAATACCACCTGCGGGTCACGATGCTAGCCTCAGCCCGAATCCGAGCCCGAGGTAGCACCTCCCTCCGCCTCCGCTTCCTGACTGGTGGACCCTGATGGGATTCCCCGGTCAACTTCCATATGAGGTACCTCCTCGGTTCTCGCTTCCTCGGAGGGCCCTCCGGAGGTCTCCTCCACAGAAGCCGTGGGCGCCGCCTCTCCGACAGCCCCGCCAACCTCCATCGACGAGCCCTCCTCGTGTGAGCCCCCCGCGGCCACCTCATCACCCTGCGGCCTCGGCGCCGCCAGGTTCACTTTTACCTGTGTCGCCAGGCAGAAGAGAAGTGAGCCCTTAGCCGTGATGGCGCTTGCCGATTTCTCGTCCACTTCCACCACCAACCTTGTGCCCCTTACATCCTCCGTCCTCTGCCAGACCCTCCAGGCACGGCAATCTAGGCCATTCTGAGCTGCCAGGCAGCGGACTAGTGCCTCATTCGAGACATCCGCCCCCAGGCCCGGAATCCATATCGCCGCCCTTCTCAGTCTCAATCCTCCCGGATCGACCTCCACCAGGTTTGCGAGCCCCCAGGGCCTGACGTTAATCAGCTCCCTGCGAACCCACTCCATGGTTTCTTCATCCATCATCTCGATCAGGATGTGGCTCCTCTACAGCCTAACCGAGCGTATCCGGGGAGGGGTGTATTGCCCCCCCCTGCATGATATACATGCTTATGCGGAGGTTAAGAGACCCTATGAACCGCAGCAGGTCCTCGGAAGACAGGTCAGTTTCCTGTCCTCTGAGGCCCACCACCAGTTCAGGCCCCCCCGCCGCCGCTTGTGCATAGGACCGAGCCCCCCTCTCAGAGCCCCCCCCCCGGGACGGCCCGCCTTTCCCGGGCCTAGCTTTCGCCGGGCCACGTGTCGGCCGCCGACCCCCGGCAGGTGCCCCAACCTGGGTGGTCTCTCCCATTTTTCTTTTCCGCTTCCTGCCATTTCCGGTGTGCCCCCTATGGAGCCCTCCGTTGACGGCGTGGCAGGATTCCTGGGCGCCGGAAGAGAGCCCGTCTGCGGTTCCGAAACCGTCACCGCGAGTCTCTTCTTCTTCGCCCTCCTTTTTTCCGCCCCACTCCTATGTCTGGGGCGGTATGTCATCGAGGTGGTGTTCCCGGTTTGTACCGAGCCCTCCACCCCGCTGGCGACCTGGTGATCCTTTTCGAATCGCCCTTGGAGGGGGCCTTCCTGAGGACGCCCCTGCTTGCTGGAGCCCCCCTGGGTCCCCTCCTCCTTCTTCATTACTTCGCATTTCATTTTTGGTTCCATAAAGGTCCCACGAGGAGCTAGGGAAACATAACGGTAAACCTCTGCAGAGCCCCGCATGCAGAGGTAAGGCTTCCTTCCCCGAGGTGCGCCCGGTGCCTCGGGGTTGGGATCGGTAGAGACTGATCTTCTATTCAGCCATGCATCCCCTAGGCCCGACCCCCCACCGTAGGATTTAGGATTTTTATTGAGGTTTACTCCTCTTGGTCCAAGTGGTGAAGCTCAGACCCCCGCGTCGCGTGCCCACTCGTCGAGCCGGCCCCGACGCCTGGTTTATCAACCGACTACAAGCCAGTTGGCACCGTTATACCCTGCTTATCCGCATAGACCAATGACTGTACATAGCCCCACAGACAGTAGTCTAGCGGTGTCAAATCACAAGATCTTGGAGGCCAATTCACAGGTCCAAAACGTGAAATTAGGCGGTCACCAAACGGGTCTTTCACTAAATCGATTGTGGCACGAGCTGTGTGACATGTTGCGCAGTTTTGTTGAAACCACATCTCCTGGACATCATGGTTATTCAATTCAGGAATGAAAGAGTTAGTAATCATAGCTCTATACCGATCACCATTGACTGTAACGTTCTGGCCATCATCGTTTTTGAAGTACGGACCAATGATTCCACCAGCCCATAAAGCGCACCAAACAGTCAGTTTTTCTGAATGTAACGACATACACTTGAGGATTAGCTTCGCTCCAAATGCGGCAGTTTTGTTTGTTGACGTAGCCATTCAACCAGAAGTGCGCTTCATTGCTAAACAAAATTCGCTTATGAAAATCGGGAACAACGGCAATCTCGTTTTGGGAACATTCGACGAATCTACGCCTTACTTGATGAATTCATGATCAATTGCTAAACCAAACTGAGAATAAATCCCTTGACAGCTGTTAAATCGGTTGCCATCTTACCATCTTATTATTTGTTTCTTTAATCAATTTTTAAATATCTCACAAAGGATAGGGAACCTTATACGCGTGGCCATGTTCTTTAATAGATTGTGTAATAATAAAAGATGTAAGGTTAAATGGTATAAAAGTTTTATGTTTATATGCATAATGTCCTGTAGCCACCAAAATTAAATTGGTAGAAGCGGACTAAGAAATTTTTTCGGCAAACAAAATTGATTTTATTTTTTTTTAACTTTTTCTTTTTCTCTAAATTAATATGAAAACATATAAAAACATATTTTTTAAACAGTGCTTAATAGCTTTATCACATCGTTGGAGAGAGTCACTTATTTATAACAATAACTAAATATACTTCCATTTGCTTAAAAAATAATAATAATTTCCTGGAAGCTTATTATATTTCATAGCTATCAGAAAGGGGTTATTAAGTCTTATATTTGTTCTTGTATATATTTCCTAACCATTATTTATAGATAGTTTGGTTAGTTACATTAAAATTTTGTGTTTTGTTGAATATTAATTAATTTAACGTGTTTAAACTCCAATATCATACTAAATATAAAAATGTTAAGTTCATCATACAATCTGTCAGTTTCAACATTCTCTTCCAAAATACTTGAGCACTGTTGAAATATTCAATAAATATTTCAAATGTGAACGGAGAAAGGCACTGTAGACTCTATGATTCGTTTTCGCACTAAGGCAATTTCTACCTAGGTACTTCATATGCTGAAACTTCCCTTTTTTGGTTACTCATTTTGAATCTTCTTATTTTTTGTTTTGTCGATATTTATTTTGAAGCTTTTATAATATAACCTTTCGTAGGTATTAAACTAAACAATGCATCATCAGCCAAGCATTGGGTTTTAAGCTCAGAATTTTTCAGATGTAGAACATAAAGTGAGTGCAGTAATGGCCCCTGGACAGAACCCTGAGGCACCCTAACATATAACCTATTTAACATATTGTCTCTTACCTGTTAAATATGACTTAAAAATACTATATTCTAAAATGTTTTCTCTAAAGCGAGTAACGATACACATGAAATACTAATTACAAATTTGTTTTAATTTTTTCTTTAAGTTTCCAATGTCGATAGTAGTAATTTCAAATTGGGACACCTCATCGAAAAAAAAAAACAAGTGAAAACTTCATTCTGAACCTTACAACTTTTGTAGAACTAATTCTTTAAAAAAAAATTAAGGCCACCTCTGATAATTTAATTTTGGTAGCCTCAGGGCATTATCACAGCTAAATACTACTTTTATCCCATTTATCAACGCTATTGTATGATATGGTGTTGCATGGTAGGTAAGAGGTATGCTGAAAACGGAAACGCAATTTGCTTTGAACATACTTAGACACTTGGATATTTGCATAGCATAGCATAGAATACCTTTTATTACATTTTTAGACTTACCGCTTTATTCTAATTATTTCTCCAAAATGGATCACTAGAACTTCAACTTAGCTGCCTTGTGAATTTACAAGAACGAAGGAAGGAAATTTTTTGATTGCCGTTTGCCTAACTTCCGTCAACTAGATTTATCGAGATAAATTTATGTGTAGATGGTGTATGGACAGAGTAATTTTAATTAAATCATTTTGGCATGACAGTTTTTATATAATTTTTGAGATTTAGAACACCCTGTGCATTATTTAAAACTCTTAAAAATCATTAAAACTTTGACCCCGCTTGTAATATGCAAGTTTCGATCTATTCTAATAGAATTTTTTCGACGGTTTGAAAAGTACGCCCCCACCTTTACGTATGTATAACGATTAGACAATAGTATTTCCAAAATGTACATATTTGACATTATAGGTACAATGCTAAATCGGGTATCCACTTTGTCTTGGTGTGCTTTTTTAGAGCGCTCTGTAAAATTGATTTCTTGGTGTCGCCTCAGTTCTTCTCTCAAACAATTACCTTAATGAAGATCCAAAAAATACCCTTCACCAGAACCACTTACACAAAGCCTTCATTAGCCACTGTAGTGCTTCCCAATGTTCAAAATGTCACCAAACAAATACCAACATTTCTGAAAAAACGTAACATCAAAACTAGATACTCTACTTTTTCTAAAGTCTTCCAACATATACTGTGCAGGTTTCAGAATTCATTTGAGAAACAGGTCAATAAATATCAACCACATTCAAAGAACACCACAGATCACATCAGATTTTATTCTAGAGTCTATGGAAATTATTTTTGAGTCAGTCTCGTTGATCATCCATTTGACATTAGGTCATCCGCAATAAACCCTCCTGTTCACTCAGCAAAACAGAGTCAATACCAAAGAGAGATCCGAACCCTACGAAAGTTTCTTTGAAAAATTATATAAAACATTGATGGTGCGGTAGGTCCTTATATAAAGAAAACCATAGAACATGCCTCTGGGAAGTATAAAATTATATATATGTTTATGCACCCCATCTCGAATGTCAAAATATCCCAAAAAATCTATGGTAAAGTTTGTCGGCCATCCGGTGGATGTTAAGCATCCAGACCAAAATTTCGCATTCAAAAACACATCTCAGTTTGTACACAAAGGGTCATTGGTCATCTAAAAAGTTTGTATAGCTGAAGGCAAGCCATTTTCTAACTGGAAATCTTAAGAAAAGGTTATGCGATTGAGAAAATTTAAGAATGCCTGAGGTTCATTTCCGGTATCCGCTATTTAAGACCCGCCAGCCACAAGGTGAAGGATGCGAGTTGTACCAACATGAAAACGCTGCGCTTGATCCAAAGCTACTGTATCTATTTCAAAAGCTCTAAAACAGCTCTCAATACCTCTCAGAAAAAATAGCTTTTAGGATAGATCTGGTATATTTGAAATATATTTTAGTTACAATTAGGCTACATTATTCCTTTAGAATGCGCCAATAAATTGTGAAATGTAAAAAATGTACTATACCTTTTTAACTGTTAGTTTTGTTGAGAGATAGGTTTAGGTCATTTTTTTCTATATATAGGTTGTACTTAACCCATATGATATTTTTGCTTAAACCATATGGCAATTTGTGACTCGTCTTGTTTTTGTTTTTGTAAGGATAAGTGTAGAAATCAGCAAACAGGTACATATGGGCGCTGCACTATTACTTGAATAAAGTATATTATTATTATTTTTATAAAACTTCTCGATTCCTCCTGCGTCGATTTTTTTTACTGGAACTAACTAACGTTTCGCCAATCTTCCTGTTGGCTTCTTCAGAGCTTGACTGAAACTGGCTCCCATCTTGGTGACAGGTAGGGACCTGCGTCGCGGTTAAGATTGTTGCTATGTTTATAGATTTCTATAGACTCGCGGATTTTTCGGTAGTAGAAGAATTGGTTACATGAGAGAATTTTAATTCTATCGAATAAAATGTTATGATTGTGTTCGGCAACTGCTGATGAGTTTATTTGTCTTAGTCTTAATGCTCTTTCATGTTCTTTGAGTCTAGTTGATATTTTTTGTCCGGTCTCTCTAATGTATTCTTTGCCACATATGCATGGAATGCTGTAAACACCTGGCACCTCAAATGGAATTTTGTCTTTGACGGATTGAAGATGTCGAAAGATTTTTGGTTGAAAATCTGGTTTTGACGTTATATCTCTTTAGAACTTTTCATATGTGGTCAATGATGTTTTGAATATAAGGAAGGACAACATTGGCAAGTGTGGGATTGCTTTCGGTTAGTGCTATTGGAAGGTTGTGGTGAAGTGTATTTTGTGATGGAACGCTTAATATCTTTAATGAGGAAATTATTAGAGAGAAGGGTAGAGGTATAGTGTTTTAATTCTGGATTCAATAACTCGGACTAAGTTAGTTTAAAGTTGACAACTGATGATTTTTGGGCCGGATGGTGATGTGACAATGCATTAAGGTCTGTGTGCGTAGGTTTTCTGTAAACACAATGGGAGGTTATTATTAGTTTCTATTGCAATGGCAAAACGTATCTTAGGGTGTATTAAGAAAATCTACTAGGGATTCCTGACAATGAGGTTAAATAACAAAACTTCTAAATAACGTCAAAACCAGACTTACCACTTGTACAAAAATCTCTCAACATATTCGATCCGTCAAAGACAAAATTCCATTTGAGATGCCAGGAGTTCACGGCATTCCATGTATATGCGCCAAAGAATACGTTTTAGAGACTGAGCGAAAAATATCAACTAGGCTCAAAGAACATGAAAGAGCCTTAAGACTACGATATATAAACTTATCAGCAGTTGCCGAACGTAATCACGAAAGCTGACATAAAATTTTATTCGATGAATCTAAAATTCTTGCATGTAATCAATTCTTCTACCAACTAAAAATCCGACAGTCTATAGAAATCTATAAGCAACCTAACAATCTTAACCGCGACTCAGGTCTCTACCTGTCATCAATATGTGTTTATGCCCCTCATTTAGCTCCGCTTCCCCTCAAACCATATAAAAGCAGGTACAGAGTAAAATGCGAGCCAGTTTCACTCAAGCTCTGAAGAAGCCAACAGTATGATTGGCGAAACGTTAGAAGTTTTAGAAAAAGCATTACAGTAGCCTGTGGAAGTTTCTTTGAAAAATTATATTATTATTATTATTATTAATATTGTTAGCCACCAGTACCCACGAAATGGACTCCACGAGAGAGCTTAAATTCGATAGAAGAGGAGAAATCGACACCTCCGAATCCGAGGCCGTCACTTTTTAAGAAAAACGGCACTTTGCCCACGCCGCATCTAACGTACTCCTCTAGCCACGCGGATCTTAACGCCATCCCCGAGGAAGCCAATCACAGTCTCACAATCATAGAAAGTACGGTACTATATTTAGCTCGTGTATCGTTGATAAACCAGGCGTGTTTCAGGCAGTAATTTGGATCAGGACATAGCTAGACGTTCGACTGCCGAAGTCACGGACAGAAGAAGAGACACCGCGTACTTAAGAAGATTAAGTCAGAGGTACAGGGTTCCGGAAGAAAGACGTATCACTGCCGATATGAAGAGGAGAACGGCTTTCATGAACAACAACATCAAGCGGTACAACGAACGATCATCGGCGGTGAACAGGGAAATGGAGGAGATCATCAACAATACCTCGTTTTCGAAGAAAGAGTAAGCATTTCTAATGCGTGGCTAATCTTTTTCGTAACCGCTTTCGTTCCAGACAGTACACGAAAATTAAAGAGATCAGCAGCTTTCTCGTGTTTTACGATTTGAAGGAGGAGGTCGAGTATATTCAGATGAGAGATCCGTTGTTCAAGTACTACATTTTCACCCAGGTGGCGTTAATACTTTGCGTGTACTTGATACAGAATCTCACGCTGCCAGAGTAAGTATTTTTTGATTAGGGATGTGGGAGTTTGATGGTCACGCGAAAACCCTAAATTCCTTTTTCGGAAAAGATTCCTCAGATTGTCTTTGAAATATCCCAAAATTCTCTTAATTTTTTTTCTGATATTTTGCAAAAATGTACCCAAAAATTAACGGTCTTAGGTAAAGTATAGTGTGCAATACCTTTGGTAAACTTTTCAAGTCACTCGCTCCGCTCGTGCCAAATGAACTCGTTACTGTTTTTGTTGTCCCTTCTGTAAAATACCTAATTATACACCGTTCTAGCGGGCGGAAAGTGTGATTTTACAACGTCAGTTTCGCTTCTCACAGATCCGAGTTTTAGAGCAATCGGATGTTTTCGGAGATTTTACGGCACGACTTGAATTTTGTAGTTTGTCAATTCTGATGGTCAAGTCAGTGAATCTGTTCGTGTTGTTTTGCAAAAACGTGCCCAAAAACTAACGGTCGTATAAAAAGTAAAGTATGCAACACGTTTGGCAAACTTTTTAAGCCACTGGTTTATTAATAATATATATACTATTAACACACTTGTACAATAAACTATTTGCTGCAATCTTTGATGTATTTCATATCTTAGTTTTTGAATAATACCAGACTCATACAAGCTGAAGGCGAAAATAAAATGGTAACTTGAAGTTTATTTGCGTATTATTGAGAAAAAGAAACACTAGATGACATTAATATATTATGCAACAAGCGCGGTAAACGGCATTTGACTCGTAAGTTTATTTGGCACGAGCGGAGCGCAGCGAAGTGAGCGTTTAATAAAGCAGTGAGATAAAGAGTTTACCAAACGATCTGCATGCTGTACTTTTTCTACTACCGTCACGAAAAATCACAATTTAACAAATTAAAAATAATAACAGATTATGGGATTACTAAATTTCGTAGCATTCAAACAACATATTTAGTTGCCATTAAACCTGCTCGTTTATTGTTCCGATTGGTTCTGCTATTGTTGTCTCCTTTCAGTTATGTGCGTTAGACAGAGAGAAATATAAAATATATATAAAAAATATAAAAGCTGTAAAAATCACTAAAGTTCACGCGAAAGGTATATAAAATTTCTGTGGGAAACTTAAATTATGAATGTCACTTTATTTACCGACTAGTCTACTAGATTTTAATTCTAGCTTATGGCACGTGCTAAATTGTCTGATATATTGCATAACCTTTTTCTGAGGGCATTCAATGACATGACCGCCAGAATTGACAAACGTCAAAATTCAAATTGTGCGTTAAACATCTCCGAAAGCATCCGTTGCTCCCAAACCTGTGCGGTAAAATCCTGGAAACGTTCGAAATGGCTCGGATCCATGGGAAACTAAACTATAGGAAATTTAAATCGGAAAAATTTAAATTAAAATAGGTATTTTACAGACGTGAATAAAAAAAATTATTTAACAACAACAATTATTCTAATAGCGTACATTTTCACCTATCGCTCGATATTGTGAGTGATTGTACAGAGCGACGACGTAGAGCTTTTAAGTTTATTCCAAAAATACTCAATAGGGTTGAGATCCGTTTCTCACTATTCTGTCGTTGTCGGATATTGCTGGGCTTCGTGAATGAATGTCTGCTTTTGCCAATCTTCTAGTACAGTTGCTTGTTTGTGAACCAAATTGTCCCCTTCATTTTTCCCACAGAGTGTTTGGAAACTATAACAAAAATCAACATTTTCATTTACCCTTTATGATACTGCCCAAAACGAAGAAAATTAGTTACTAAATTAATTTAAAAGAACCAAAATAATTAAATTGATGCTAGCTGTTAATAAAAAAGGTGTGAACCATAAAGCTTTTCCAAATTTATAGGGTTTCGGGGTTATTTTTTTCAGATAGTGAGTTTTGTTGAGTGGTTGAAAGATCGCCTTTCTTAACCGGAGGATTGCTCCCAGTTGGCGATAAAAAAATCACACGGCTGACTTATTTGCGCTATACTCCAACTGGAAAAAAACACTAATAATTTAACTGTAATTTGAACTACTTCACAAGAAAAAGTGTGACCAGCAACAAAAAAAAATACAAATATTCAATAGCAAACCCTGCAGATGATATACCAATGCATAATTAACTTATGAGGCATTGACTGTCTATGCCTCATAAGTTAATAATTTCTAATAATACAGTTTTTGTAGGTAATGTTTAGCTTACTGTATTTCTTACAACAGAGGGAGTAATTGGAACGTAAAAGATCATTTTTGATTCATCTTGGAATATTTCCTTTGGGCTACCGAAATTTATTACCCTTGTGCACTACAACAATAGAGCGATTTAATCCAGGGTAATTTTATTTGCAGCAACCAAAAGCTTATTGAAATTGGATTCTTGATAATTTTTAGGATAATATTTGATCGATTTGGAATTTGAAGTCTTTTTGTAAATAACAAATATGATCTTAAATTGTACTTTCTTGATCCTGTATTTTCCTTATTCTATTATTACATAAAGTAGCCACGACATTCAGTTAAATTTAATTGTTTAATTGTTGGTCTTCAAAAATAAATAGCCTATAATGATAAATAGCAAATATAATTGATTTGTGGAGTTTAATAGTTTTTGATCATAATGATAAACACAAGTAAAAAATAAGCTGATATTTTCATCCCTAAAAGAGCACAGATATTTTGATCTTGATTAACCTTGTTGTGAACACAGTTCATAGAAATCTTTCAAAGTAATTTAAAAAATATGCTTAAAAAAATATTGTTAAAAAAAGTTATTCCCTAGGGTTATCAGATGATAGTACAGGCAATAAAGGTTTAAATGTTTTCTTTGATTGTAAACCGCTAATTGTGCACCTTGCAGCACTTATACATAGGATGTGCTTCAAGCTGCTGAAAGTTTCTTTAGTACGCTCTGTAATTGACTTTAATTACGTGGTATGATGCCCATGCTATACCGGTCATATAAATAAAATTGAAGCTGTTCAAATTGCGTTTTCAAGATCTTTAGCTTCGAAGGCGGAAATCAACATCAGCAATGGTTATGGTTTTGATTACAATTAGGTACATTAATTCATTCAAAATTTAACTCTTAACCAACAACAAACCCAACAACTCAATACTTCTCACTACTACATAGTGTACTCGCTGCTTAATAGAATGCTTGTATATAATTAATTAAAGCTTGATCCTTTTGCTTATTTATGTCAAATGTGAGAAAAAAAGTTAGTGTACTGTTAGATTAACATAGTTTTGTTAACAGTTACATCGTACTTGTCTATTTGAATATATTTACTTGTAAATTGGCAAATCCGTTAAATTAAGCAATTTTCACGTATTGATTCACTGATGGAAAAAGGTGATGACACTATATTCCGGGATATCATCCGTTCGCTTGTTGAACTCCGACTGGAATCCTGCAGACATCACTTGGCATCTTCAATGCTCGCGCTCCGAAAACACTTTGAACACATTGCACACAAGCATTCAGTATATATATATATATATATATATATATATATATATATATATATATATATATATATATATATATATATGATGACACTATACTCCGGGATATCATCCGTTCGCTCGTTGAACTCCGACTGGAATCCTGCATCCGACTGGAATTCTGCAAATCCTGCATCCGACTGGAATCCTGCAGACGTTTCGCCAAAATCTCACTTGGCATCTTCAATGCTCGCGCTCCGAAAACACTTCGAACACTCAGTGTTCGAAGTGTTTTCGGAGCGCGAGCATTGAAGATGCCAAGTGAGATTTTGGCGAAACGTCTGCAGGATTCCAGTCGGATGCAGGATTTGCAGAATTCCAGTCGGATGCAGGATTCCAGTCGGAGTTCAACGAGCGAACGGATGATATCCCGGAGTATAGTGTCATCACATTTTTCCATCCGTGAATCAATACGTGAGAATATATATATATATATATATATATATATATATATATATATATATATATATATATTTATTTATTTATTTATTTATTTATTTATTTATTCTATATATATATTTTTATTTTACTTGCTTCCACAAATGCTACACATCGATATCCCGTTTAACTGAGAATCTGAGAATATTTGTCTTTCAGGTGGGATTGGTGGAGATACGAAATAATCGCGTCGGAAACAATACTTGTATTAATTCTGCTGCCCTGCACGTGGACCTACTACATCTACCTGAAGTTTTTCTCCGATTCCGAGATTCCGTCCAATCGAGTCTTGAGATTTTTCTTCAATTCGTCGAAATTTATAACGAACAATTTCTTATCGAGGCTGACCATTTATACGGCCGTGTTTGTGATGTTTCTTTTCTGTGTCGGTTTGGAAATGGTGAGTACCACTAGCTTTCAAAATTAAATCGGAAAGTTGGAATTGAATCACGATTATGACGTTATTTTCTTTAAAATTAAAAAAATCTCAGCTGGCGAAAGATTAACATTTCTTTTCGCCCTTAAAAATGAAAAATTTATTTAAGGTAATAAAAAATAAAGCAACACTAAAACGTTGTAATCATTTTTCCTATTTAAAATTGGATCATTGCGCTTTTTGCATCTGTAGTAATGTAGTTAGTTAGAATGTGGGAAGCTATCGAGCCCCCGCTACTTCCAAAACATATTGGTGTGCATTTATCATCCCAAGGACTACAAAGTATGATATACGATATGTCATAATAAGTTGAAACCGTATGGGAAACATTTTTATTATTAATTCGATTACTAAATTTAGTCATTTTCCGACTGTTTCAACTGTTACGAAAATAATGAATACCTTCAATAATACTAGAGGTAATAAAAATGGATTTGATGTACAAAGTCGGAAAATTGTTGCCGAAGATAATACGCAGTTTGAAGGAATCCAAAAATATCATTGCGCAAAAGTAAATCGTTGATGCAAAAAAATGTATGCAAATATACATTGGCAAGAATTTTAAAACATTTAAACCAAAGATAATTCACCAGTCAAAGAAAGAGACCATAACGAATATTCCTTTAAGATAATGTGTGATGGGCCATTTCTAAAAACGGATTAATAGGACCTCCATACAAAAACAACAATGTATTTGATACCAACAAAACGGTCCCTCATGTCAAAGTATATACATTCATATATGTTCAATGAAAATGTTATCCACAGATATTCTGATCCACTAGATCCACTAAAGTTTACCAGGAGAGGTCGTTTAAAGATTTTTACTCTTTAGAACCTAGAGAAAGAATAATAAATAAATTAGTGGTATAAATGAGAATTAAGTTTCCATTTATTTCTAGAATTAATATTATGTTAGCAATATGCAAAATAAATGGAAATGAACTCAATTGCGAAATTGTTAAAATACATTAAGAAACGAGAACAACCACAAGAGATAACGTTTTTGCTCTATTGTTTTGAAATATGAAAAATCTGGCACTACTTTCAAAATATCACGAGATTTTCAAAATTTAGATTATAATAAATTTAAATCAGACCTAATGTCTATTCCATGGAATAACATTTATGTTATAAACAATTCCGAGGCAAAGTGGAATTTATTAGTACCACTATAAATGTTCTGTTTAGATATTCACTCAGCACTCAAAATCTATACCAGAAGATATCAAAACGGTACTCACCATGGCGTACGGCCACGATTATTAACATTGTTGAAATAAGGCATTGTCTAAATTTAAAAAGAATAAAAGCGTAAATGACTTGCTATTAAAATACAAAGTGTATTTCAATAGCTTTTTTTATCATAATACCAATCAAAATACTATATAACCAGGCATGACGGTTATAGTACTATTGAGACGAGAAATAGAGATTTAAAGTCTGTTCATAGATATAAGAAAGTGATACGAATTAAGGAAAGACCCGGGCAAGCTGTAAGAATGAAATATGGCCGAACAGGTCCGCACTTTGCTTAGAATTTAATTATTTGGGGTTTTGTTAGGAAAGATACTAAACAATATTTATTTATTTATGTATATATTTAGGTTTAAATCTAAAATAAAATTCCAAATTATTTTTATTACCTGCTTAAATTAATTATAATTATTCACATAATATATCAGTATCACTATCGCTATCATCGCCTGTGCCAAACATATTCAATGGGATTAAATATACAGTGGTAAGGCCTTAAAACTGTATGCCCTAAATTTTTTGCATAATTATCACAGACGTATTCCTTTTGTAGGTTCAAGCTTTGTAGAACCTCATTTAATTGCTTTTTGGAATAATCTTCGTGAAAATAAATGTCGTTATTATACATACGTTTGTGTCACATGAGGAAGGGGTTTTAGTCAACTGTTTACTGTGATAACTTGCATTCTCCATTACAATGACGCTATTAGAAGGAATGTTTGGAACTAGTTTGTTTTTCAACCAACTTTCAATTAAATCAGCGGTGGTGTCTTCATGGTAATCAGGTCAACCCAACCCTCTTGCGAGGTATCATAAGTGTCGAACTAGGTTTCATCCAAGTAAATAATTGGCCTTTGTTGTTCTCTGTAAATCCTTTTTTTTTCTAGATATTCCAGTGTCGCCATTTCCGAATTCTAAAAGATTCCATTAAAACTTACCTTTTGTCAATTTTTTTAAATCTAAAACCCATGTGTTGAATACACTTCCATAAGGTAGTTTTGCGACATTTAACACCGGTTTGATCTTTTTCAAGCCTTCTAATTAAGATATCTAATGTAGGCACGCTTTGTTCCTCGTATAACTGGTAAATTTTACCCCGTATTATATCTTGATCACTTTCATCTACATTCGAGAAAATGTCAGCATCGCTTCTTTTTATCCTCGCTGAAATGGGATTATTCACGATTTTCCATACAGTCAACGTTGGAATTTTCGTCAATGTGGCCGTTCCTTCTAAAGATGCTTGCTGGCCCCACGTTCAATGAGAGTCAAATAAACACTGTTTATAACTTCCTTAGTCCCAATAGAATAGTGTTTTCTACATTTGGGCGGGAGCATCTCCTGAGATACACTAGACTCGCACATATTTTGCATAATTCGCAGACGATTCAACACACGCTGTATTACACACGAAATAAGAATGAATACTAATAAACTTAAACTAAGTATTATACCAAACAAAGAATATTAAACACAGGTAGGTATAATCCCATTCAAAAGCAATTGGTCAATTTCTTATATCTAGGAACAGACCATACCTATAAACATATGTAATGTTAAGCATATAATTATACTAATTGAGAAAATAGTAATGTTTCTTTTAATCTTGTACATGAAACTCATGTATTTCGGATAATTAAAAATATTAGGAGTAAGAAGTAGATTGCGTTGGTATTAATATTTCTACGATCAATTTATGTATTCCCCATATTTTGCCTCACATTACCCACGTTATAAACAATTGCTTAAAATATTTCAAATATTCCATTTTCCTGGATCGGCGTATATATTAGTGTAATTGCAAATCCAACAACCTTTCACCCTAGTATTTTAACCATTTCTTCAAAAATCTATATACTAGCAGATGCAGTTTCACTTAAAACCGTTACTCAATTAGGTTATAAAGCCGGACATACTACAGCTACTATACTACTATATTTAGGGCTGCAGATTAGAGCAAGCTGACACTACTAACCCTTTTAGACTAGATGTTCATTCTGTGCGGATTAATAATAAAACATAAGTTTTGTGATTCGGTGAGAAACTTAGGAATGATAAAGGACAAACATTTGAGGTTTTCAAAATGCGTATTAAATTAAAATGTGAATTTTTAACAAGAAACATAAAACGGATCTCTCGTTTCCTTCAAAATTACTATCTAACGTTGATTTTTGGGATTCGAACGTTTACTTCACACACTTCAAAGAGTTAATTGGGTAAATATGAGAAATACATTGCTTCATTCTGCAGTTCTGTGTGCAAAAATACTTAGTAGAAAACCTCCTCCATAAATAAGCTCTCGCTGTGACGGCATAATATTAATATACGATTTTCATATAATGTTGTTTCATGTTTAAATAATTTACAACCTCAAACGTTTTAAAACTAAAATTTTTGAAAAACTACTTAGTGAACAAATGAAAGAAATTTGCAGGTAACTGATTTTCGCTGAAACTCTAACTAAACTAACCAAAACTAAAGTAATCATTTTTGTTTGATGTAAGTTTCAAATTACAGAATGTAAATTTATGTATTTTTTTCTCTTTCCCCGGCTTAGAGAGAACAATATATTAATCTTTAGTTGCCACTTTTTGCCAAAATGTTCACATTTTATTGTTATATCGTTTATAATTCAAATAAATTGAAATTAAATAGAAACGATATTAAACAAACAAAACCTATTTTTTCAATATAATTGCATAGTTGATCGATTAGTATGGATCAAGAACGTTTTTCTTTTGAATCAATTAACGATACAAAAGTTCGGATATGGTTCGAATTTACTTCGGCTCATTGTGCAATTACATAAATGCAACGTTTTTATGAAAATCAAAGAAGTTAAAATCAATAATTGAAAACTTATCTAAAAAAGTCTCAAAGAAATTGAAACCTTTCTCGGCATTCTTTGGTATTGGCTTCAGAGGTGTATGATATAGCCATATATATAGATATATGGGTATAAACAATTCACAATTAATCCCTTCAAATTTACGCTTACAAATTGTCTGTTTCAGTTTCAATGCGAATACGAATACAACGATGACCGGATAATGAACTCGCATTGCACTATACCGTGGGTATGAAACGTCGTCCTCGTGCTTAGAAGTTCGTAACACCTTTTGTCATTTCAGCACATGACGGAAACCTGCGCCCTCGCGCTCATCATGACGTTCATGTTTTTGAAGATATTTATTTGGATCAAGCTGCTTTACGCGTTGATCGTGACGTGCTTGTACAGCTATTGCGTCGTGAGCTACATTAGCTCTTTCTATAAAGTAGGTTTTCGTTTGAATCGTCTGAAGCTTCGACATATACACCGTTCGTGTTTCCAGGACAGCGAGACGTTCAATCCGCACTTAAAACCCCAGGTCGCTCATATCATGAACGTGGTGTTTCTGACGTTGATCTTGCATTTGATCGACAGACAAACGGATTATATGAACCGATTGGATCACCTATGGACCGGAAAATTATTAGAAGAAAAGCGAAAAGCTGATGAACAACAAGCCGTCAACACGAACATGCTGATCAACATTTTGCCTAGGCACGTCGGTGAGTTCAGTTGTTCAAATTGTTATAGTAAGTTTTGAATAAAATCGAAAGATTTTTAAAATATTTTCAATTATACAGGCTGGGTCGAATTATTTTCAACTTTTACTATGCAAAGTCTGTCTAACTGGACCTACTAACAATTACTGTCGTTTCTTTGTGCTTTGTACAGGGTGCCTACTTGTCTGAAAGAAAACGAAAATCTGACCATCGCTTGCCAAGTTTCTATTTGTGGGCTTTTTGAAAAATTTGCATTTTAGAATAGGATGTTTTTGTTGTAAATTGCTTGATACATTTTTTAAATCACAATTCCTAAGTCTAACTAAATTGTTTCTACGTCTTTTAGGTTTTGAGATATAGCACAAATGTGTTGTTTTTAGAACACGTATTAAAGCATTTTTAAAAACCTACAGGGATTTTTCTAATTTTTTATATATTATATTAATAATATTGGGATAAAATAGTCGAACTAACTGACGTCGATAAAATGGTGGAGTTTTTTAATACTAACTTACTAGAAGTGTTCAGCTTGCATGCTCCTTTAAAAACTGCGAAGATAACAAAACCGCCCGCTCCTTGGCTCACGGAAAACTTAAAAATAATGATATAGTTGAAACATAAAGCACTGTCTAAATATAAGAAACAGAAAACCGAACAAACCTGGATTGAATACAAGGAGTTGGGAAATCTTGTAAATATGGCTGTTAAGTCGGAGAAAAAGGCTTTTTTACAACACAAGTTTCTTACGGATCCAAAAAACTTCTGGCGTGTACTTAGATATCTTAATGTGTATTCCGGACCTTCAGTAAATACAGATGTCTCAAATATTGCAGATGCTAATGAACTTAATCAATTCTTGTATAATGATACCTGTCAAACAGACTTAAATAATGATTTCATTAACCAGTTCTACAACAATAACCCTTCAAATCCAGAAAAACTCTCATTTTCAAGTGTTAACTCTAATGAAGTAGGAATAATAATACAACAAATTAGAACTCACGCCGTGGGGCCTGATGGGATTGATAGGAAGATCATATTATACGTTATCCCCCAACTTTTGCCGCATATTACGTATATTATTAGTAAGTGCTTGTCTACTAACAAATTCCCTAAACCCTGGAAATACGTTAACGTCATTCCTGTCCCTAAACCATCTCAACCGCTTCATGTTTCTCAATACCGACCTATTAGTATTCTCCCTACTTTATCTAAAGTGCTAGAAAAAGTTGTTGAGAAGCAGCTTGGAGATTTTACAGCTCGGCACAATATTCTACCCCCAACGCAATCGGGCTTTGGGGCACATTATGGTACAAATATGGCTCTTATAAAAGTTTGTGATGATATAATTCGGGCAAATGATGTAGACCTGAATACCTGCTTAATATTGCTTGATTATAGCAAGGCATTTGACACCTTGGACCACCGCCTGCTCTTTGCTAAATTGAAATATTTTGGTGTGGGGTTTGGTTGCAGTTTTTCAAAAGTTACTTTTCTGATCGGTGTCAATAACAGCTATTCCAATTATGTAAATATTCCCAAAGGTGTACCACAGGGAAGTATTTTAGGTCCGATGCTGTTTTCCGTTTATACCTCCGACTTCTGTAAATTTATTAAACATTGTTTCAGCGCAGTTTCACGTATAATGCTATCAAGGCTTACAAACTCCCTCTTCAACTGAGATCAATCACCTCGCTAACTTCATTCAAACAAAAACTTTAGCAATACATTAGTAAAAACAAACTAGTAACTATCAAATTGTATATACGTATTTCTTTTTTGAATTCACTCTAGCAGTGTCTACCATTTTGAATGAATATCTATATAATTTATTTGCTATATATTATTTTATAAATTGTGTCATACACTGGTTTTAGGGGGTTGCATGAGAGCAACAGTTATATATTTTTGTAAGATCACATCACATCGTGAGCCATGGCAGTGAAAATAATTCAACAGTTCCTTTACCGTAGGTCACCCAAATGGGCACAAAGTTGCAGCAAGTCCTCCATTTACTAAATTAACATATCAAGGGAAATACAAACCAAGAGTTATAATGTTCTTGGATTTTAAATTGGCTCTATTAAATGCAAAATATATAAAATACAAGATGATAGATCAAATCAAATCTTCGGACCACGTTGCCCATAAGTTGTACGATCTCGTTTAATCAGCAGTTTTTTCTGTCTAGCGATCAGATATAAAATATATATATTTTGATTTTAGCGAAAATTTATTACCTGGATGTAAACCGAGAAATGAACGATCTCTATCACGAAAATCACAGCGATGTCGCCGTGATGTTTGCCTCTATTATTTTCGACGACGATTTGCAGGAAGCGGCAGGTGAAAGAGCATTTTTAATCATCATGAACAACCTCATAACAGCAATCGATACGGTAAGAATTTTGAAAAAAATCTCCAAATCGTTTTGCCGTGCTAAGCGAGCAACCGATAAAGTTTCTTTTTTATACATTTTTAGTAAAACAGCGTACCAATTCGGCATTTATATACATATAGCAAAAATTTCGATAATTTACAATAACAATTTTTATCCCTATTGGAGTTTATGAATTAAAATTAATGAAATGGCAGGTACTAAAAATGGAAGTCCTTACCACTGGACTTTTATTCCACCTACTTAGTACATTTTTTTTTTACTTTTGTGAATCCTGATGGTTGTCGCATTTCGTTTTTTTTTTAATTTATCCGCATGTTCAAAATTTACCGACATAAATGAATATATAGTGCTAGAAATAATGAATCTGAATTTGTTTCCTTTTGTGTTTACTATTAGCCAGTGTATATTTTATTAGAATGTTCGTAGATTTTTATTTTGGGTTTCCTGTATATTGAAACTGAATCCTGGATATCGTTTTTGTTTTAGCTAATAAATCGTAAGGAGTTCTCCAAAGTGGAGAAAATCAAAATAGCCAAATGGACGTACATGGCCGCCTGCGGGCTGATACCCGGTGGAAAACCTGCCGATATTGAAACTCATCCTACAAGCGCGACGCTGGAAACTTTACTCAACTTCGCGTCGAACATGTTCAAGAAATTCCAAGAAATCAACGGAGTCATGTATAATTTTCGATTGAGGATAGGTACGTATACTATGATGACGTTTTTGTATTAGTCTATTACAGTTAGATTATGCAGGACAAAATTATGAATATATAATATATACAGGGTGCGTCAATAAGGCGTAACAGTATAAAACAAAGTCACGCTGAGAATACAGGGTGGGTAGTATGGGATTCCAAATGGGAGTCGGTTCATCCCAAAATATACCTGTGCGTCATGCAGATAGAGAATATCCTTTTTAAATACTATGTTCCAATGAGGTATTAATGAAATGAGTAAGTCGGTCAAAATGGCTTATCATTTTAGGTTAGATTTCTTACCAATAAATTCAAACAAGTGCTCCATTAGTCAAAAAAATATTAAAAATTTTTTTTCAAAAACATTCTGCCCTATTTAATTTCATTTTATAAAATTCTCCCAGGGGATGAGGATTTGCCAAGTTTTTCTGTAAGTATTTTAGGTTGTTAATATGTCAAGCATGATCACAAAATTACAATTTTCGAGCGAACTGGTATTATTAATTTCCGATATCAATGTAACATCATCTAATAGATGAGAGTTGGGTCAATGTTGTTGTTATGGATAATGTTTCCTATCATGCTTATAAATTTAGGTATCCATGGATATAAAACCATGAATAAATCATTCATGGAATCGTTCATGTTGGCATTTAAACAGTCTAATGCAGTACAGAGTCTAGTGCGTGCGAAATTCCATTATCCAATTTTGAAACAAGGCTTGATAACATGTGTAGAGACAAGACTGGCAACGCTGTAACTGTTGCTTTTAGAAAACCCACAGCAGTTTAAAAGTGTTAAACAAAATCGTAAATGACTTGGTTGGACTACAACTCCTTGGACTCTTCCGAGTAATCTGGCATTGGCACCTGGAAAGGATATCAAGTATTGTCCAGTCTCAGTTCATTCTTTGGTGTCATCCCAGCGCGTTACGCTGGAATCTATTTCTGGATCCGAGTATCAAAGCACTCAGATGACAGAAGTTAATGAAAGGAGTTCAGTGAACAGTGAAATTTATATTTTCTCTGAAAGCTACCTACAAAAATTTATCAGCCACTCCTAACAAAACAATATTCCAAATGACAATTGCAATATAAAACTTAAATACGTTCCTGCTGTCTATGTTGCAGAAGAAGATTATACTGGCGTTATACACACTGCTCTTGGATTAGGCGAGGAAGATTTTCACCTTTGCCAAAGTCATGATGTTCCAGTTATTTGCCCAATTGATAGCGGTTCATATTTTTAATACCAACGATATAGTAATAAAACAAAGAAAGAAGGAAACTGCGGCGAAATTTGAGACCGGACCTGATTGTTACCCGACACCATTAATGGTGGGCTCTTAAAACTCTCCACACTGTATTCTCAGTAACTTGTATTATACCTTAAAAACCGTAGAAAATGTAAAAGAAACGTTCAAGCAAACATAACTTCATAATTTACGTAGCCCATTATTTATCATTTTAAGAAAGCTTTTGAATGTTTCCGTTACCTGACTCACTCAGTATAATCTAAAACTAATTTTTGCTTATAGATCTATGGAATATTCATATGTAGGTATTGTTTGAATGATTTTCAAAAGCTTCTTGTAAATACGTGTTGTTTGGTAAGTTTATTAATGTTTATAAAATATATCTGTTTTGGTGTAATTTTTGATAAACCGCAACTATTTATATCCAATATACTAACCAAGGCAACCACTAAAAGTGTATAATACCGGTGTCCTTCTCCTAAAATCTACATAGAAATTTTGATTTTGATACTTTGAGCATTTCTTTTATACTTCGACCAGAAAAATAGTGCTTTTACAACCGACCCCGTAATTAAATTTGCCTACTGTTTATTACTCCAAAATCTCAGCCCCTTGTCGAACAGACCCTTTCCCGTAACCATTCCAGGACCGTCCTAGGAATTTATCTACCCACACTAACAAGCGGGATATAAGTATGTTTTCAATATTTTTGTTGAAACATGTACATATAAAAATTGGTACAAAGTAACAATTTATTACGTTCTATTTCATTACATTTCTACATAGTATCATTATTAATATATAAAATATTAAATATAATAATAAAGTATCAGTCACTTAAAAAATCGTCACTATCGCTACTGTCGTCACCTAGTATAATGTGAACCCGCCACTAATCGTTCTCTATAAATATTTTCTTCTTTTATTACTCGTTTTTCATAGTTAGACCAGCCACTAAATGATACAAGAGTAATCTCAAGATTTCATGTCCGTTTTATCCGATTATTTTCAAACTTACCTGTAAGATAAATACAGTACAGGTAAAGTCTGTCCATAGATATAAGAAAGTGACTAACTGATACGAATAAAGGAAAGACCCGAAAAGATACTAAACAATATTTATTTATTTACATATGTATTTATGTTTAAATCTAAAATAAAATTACAAATTATTTTTATGACCTACTTAAATTACTTAAAATTATTCACATAATGTATCAGTATCACTATCGCTATCATCACATATTCTAATTATTATTTGTTCTATATTATTAGCAAACAAGTACAGAAACAATGTTGATATAATAATAACAACATTTGGGAATGACAATAAATAATTATGGATACAAGACAGTAGGTGTTTTTGGAATCATTTGTTATCAATTATTCTTTATTTTTGATTAAATTGTCTATGGTTATAATACTTTATATAAATTATTTCATGAACACTATTTTATTTTCATGTGTTGAGAGTATGAATATCACAATTTTTTGATTGAATGTTAGACTATAGCTTTAAGCGGCTCTAGTATTTTTCAATAAAAAAATTGTGATATTCATACTCTCAACACATGAAAAATATAATAGTGTTCATGAAAGAATTTATATAAAGTATTGTAACCATAGACAATTTAATCAAAAAATAAAGAATAATTGATAACAAATGATTTCAAAAACACCTACTGTCTTGTATCCATAATTATTTATTGTCATTCCCAAATGTTGTTATTATTATATCAACATTGTTTCTGTACTTGTTTTATAAACTATCTCTTTATAAGTTTAATTCGCAAGTATTTAACATATTTTTTATTTGTCGTCCTTAGTCCAGCACTCATTTTACTTATTCTACATTGTAGGCATTTGTCACGGGCCCATCGTCGCAGGCGTCGTGGGGTCGAAAAAACCCCTGTACGATATTTGGGGCGACCCGGTAAACATGGCGTCGAGAATGGACAGTACGGGTGTGCCCGGTAAAATACAAGTGTTGCAAAAAACGGCTGAAATTATCGAAAACTTGGGCTACGAGTGCGAATTCAGGGACAAAATCGCGGTCAAAGGCAAAGAGGGTCTGCTTCCCACGTATTTCGTGAAAATGGACGACAATTTCGATTTGGTTAGGCGCAGACGACCCGATGTGATCGATTAAGGTGACCCCGTGAGAATAGGGGGCCGCGATGGCCATTAGTCGTAATACGTCACTGTGATTGCAAGTACATAAGACTGTGTTGGGCAAACCTATTTATTTTTTATACGATGTATATAGGAAGTAAGTTTCGCCATTTTTCGGGGAATAATAAAATGTAGGTTTACAATGTTTATTTATTTTTGAGACGTCCAGAACAAATTTGTACCAAAAAGAACTATTAAAAGTCTATGGAAATGACAGGTTTCCATGAAACGATCATACGATATAAGAAAGTGTCACTAAAAAAACAAATGCAACCAACAAACAAAACAAAACAAATATTATGGAATACATTTTAAGAAATATCATGAACTTAAAATACACCGGAACATTTGTTAAAGAAACTTCCAATAATACCGTTTACCTATTTAGAGCTTAACTAAATTTTGCTCACATTCTACTCTGTACCTTATATACTGTTTGAGGGGGGCTTTGGCTCTCCTCCGACTCTGTAGACATCTTTAAAATCGCTTCTACAACACACACCCAGCTTCAGACCAGCAGTATAACACCCCCAGAAACATATTTCATAAAACAATAGCGACCCTACAGGGGCGTAAGTTCTGACGGTCACGTGACACGCCACTCAATGAACGCATGCGTGCAAAACGAATGGTCTTAATAAAAGCCTAGTGCAACACCTCCATAAACTTCTTCAGTCGTTATTTGTGTACTAATACTTTTCTCTATCTATCAGCCTCTGTCGTCCAATATTAAACATTGTTCTCCCCTAATTGTATCCATTCTTCGTGCTCCCTTGCTATCTCGGCCTGGCAATTGTTTCATCTACTCACCGCATCTGCGGCCTTCCTCTTTCTCTTTTATTGTGTGATCACTTTGTTCCACCTTTCATTATTATATTTAATGTTGTACGAAAATTTCCCGTTTTAGGTTAAATATTTCTTTCAAAATCCGGTTTTAGTTTTCTCTCTAATATATCTAATCGATCGCTCTTTATGTTATGTTCAGGTATTGTAGGTATTTTTTGCTTTTTAGGATAAAACTCAGCTTTCCAAATGCTACCTAGGCAAGTCTGCATCTCCTTTTGATTTCTGCCGTTTGATTCTCTTTATCCATTTCCATCTGCTGTCCCAGATACATGTAATCTTCGACTTCTTCTATTTTATATTGCGCTATTCTGATTGTAGTCTTCTCTGTGTAATTGTCATGGTTTCGGTTTTATTATAATTTGTTTTGGGTCCTATACTTTTGGTTTGCATATGCATGTATTTTTTTCATTTTCTTTTTGTGTTGTTTCTTTATATCTTCTAGGGGATCTTGTTTTGTGCGATATAATACAGTGTAGTATTTTTAAATTATTTTTAAAATATCATCCTTAGTATTCTCTATTCCTTCTTGGTGTTTAATTTTGTTAATTTCCTTTCTTTCTACTTTGGTTTTCAGACAAACGTCTTTTATCTTCGCTTCTTGGATTTCCCCAGTTACTTCTTTGTGCACTATCCGTTGTAAACCTATTAAGTACCGTTACATCTGTTATTATTCTTTGCTCGCTGGATAAAATGTTGTCAAATTCGTTTTTGGATTTTCTGTTGGGACCTATCCATGTCCACTACTTCTAAAATTTCAGAATTAAATTTCCGCCTCAAATTTTCGTCAATTTTTTGGTTAGCTTGGTGAATTACCCCTTAAATCATTTCAAAAATTTTTTAGAGTCAAATCACACTGTTAATGCTATCAGAAATTATTTTGAACAGTACGCTCCAATGTATTTCAATAAGACATGAATTTACCGAGTTAAATGAGGGGCATAAACACCGTCTCGAATGACTGATTCCCGTATTGATGACAGGTAAAGACCTGAGTCGCGGCTAAGATTGTTAGTTAGTTGCTTACATATTTCTATAGACTCTCGGATTTTTCGTTGGTAGAATTATTGATTACATGCCAGAATTTTAGTTTTGTGATTGTGTTCCGCAACTGCTGATGAGTTTATTTGTCTTAGTCTTAAGGCTCTTTCAGGTTCTTTGAGCCTAGTTGATATTTTTCGTCCGGTCTCTCCAATGTATTCTTTGCCGCATATGCATGGAATGCCGTAAACCCCTGGCATCTCAAATGGAATTTTGTTTTTGACGGATCGAAGATGTTGAGAGATTTTTAGACAAGTGGTAAATCTGGTTTTCTTTAGTTGTTTTGAATATAAGGAAGGACAACAGTGGCAAGTGTGGGATTGTTTTCGGCTTCATTGCTATTGGAAGGTTGTGGTGAAGTGTATTTTGTGATGGAACGCTTAATATCTTTAATTCGGAAATTATTGAAGAGATGACCAGAGATAAGGTGTTTTAATTCTGGGTTCAGTGACTCGGGCTGAGATAGTTTTACGGCTCTGCAAATAAGAGAGTTGATAACCGATGATTTGTGGGTCGGATGGTGATCTGACAGGTATCGGTCTGTGTGTGTAGGATTTCTGTAAACATAATGACCCAATTTTAGGTCTGATTTTCCATTGATAAGAATATCTAAGAATGGGAGGTCGTTATTAACGTATTAAAACGTATGTTAGGGTGTATAGAGTTTAAATGTCTAAGAATGGAACTTTAGTAAAAAGGGATTCTACGTCGAAACTAACTAGAATATCTTCAATGAATTAAAGGAGGAAAGGACTTAAGTACGAAACTATCAGTTTTCCCTGTAAGGAGTTTTAATAAGGAAGAGAGCTAGAGAATATGTTGGAGAACCAATGGTGCTGACAATAGGTCGAAGGGGTAATCCTGGTTTGTGAATCTTTGGAAGTCCGTAGAGTTATGAGAGGTGATAGATTTTTTGATTGGCGAAACGTTAGCTAGTTCTACTTAACAAAAACCTACTCAGGAGGAATCAAGAAGTTTTATAAAAAGTAAAGTTTTAGTCCATTAAATGTGTTTAAAAAGTTTAGCAACACTGCCGCGTTAGCTTTAACTATAGACGTGCTGTAAACATATTATGTATTGTAATTCAGTCAAATAAAAATCTGACATGTAGGTGTATTCAAAAATCTTGACCAAATACACTGCTCGATCGGTCCGCAAGGGCTTAGTTTGTTAACATCCAGTATATAAGAAACGAACTCTTTTTGGACCGATGGTAAATGTGCAAAAGTTTCCAAAATTTCACATGACTTTTAATAAGTTTTCGCGATTTATCAAGCATTTTAAAGGAAAATTAATATATGCACGTGTGCGTTTTTGAAAACTTTGCGCATTCACCCTTGCGAAGGAAAATACAACTTCTCTGCATTTTGTAAATATAAACTTGTTTGTTATTAATATCAGTTTTATAAACTCCATTTTAGCTACCACTTTGATTTAGCACTAGCGGAGCGAGTGTTTAATAAACGAGAATGAAAGAGTTTATCAAACTTTTTTTTTCTTCGACCTTTATTGGCTGAGGTGGATGTAGACTGGGTGTTGTACCAATGGGTTATTAGACAGGTAGAAAATTTAAAGTACCACCTGCGGAGTTCCTCAAGGTACCCATTTACGGTATAGCAAATTTTGTCTGTATGCTGATGATTTAAAAATTTTCATGGACCTACTGTGAACATGTAATTGGGTCTCTCTTATAAAGGAAATCTTAACTTAATAGCCCGAGACTTAAACGACGTAAGAATGTATTATGAACTTATCGATTGCATAAAGTTTTAAATAGCCGTGTGGACTTTATTTTATGTAGCACCTCGACAATTTAGAACCATGCATTTATTTATTATTACCTTTAGAAACACCAATAACCCTAACAATTCTCTTTTGCTAGGTATACTGGGAGTAGCAAACTTTCACTGCTTAGACCTGGACTTTGCAATTTCAATTGATTCGTTAAAAAGGACATTCATTCTTCCACTTTTAGATCGACACTCGTTATCTAATTCGTAATCTCTTTTTGACTTTACTTATTTAAAATATACTACAAAATAAATTAATAGAAAAATTCTACATTATTTTTATCAATAAATAAATAGCTTCAAATTTTTAAAAAATGAGAAAAAAACTTTTTCTTTGCCTTCTTTCTTTAAGTTTAAAATATTATTTTTATTGTTTGCTTTTTTATGCTGGAGTCAATTCAGCGCTTATGTTTATGTTTTGCTCTTCTCTTTTCGTGTTGTTGTTAACTATGCTATGCATATTATTATGCACTTCTGTTGTTATGCTTTGTCATCCCTCAGACGTGAAAAAGATGCATATTTAAAATTTGTTAACTCTAAAGATATTGCTACGATCTGAAAGCGTTTAACCAGCACCAAATTTGCAAGATCAGCAAATTATTAACAAATATTTCTTATCTACTCTTCTCAATACCAGCGCCGACACAGGGTTGATTGAATTTTATTAATCCAATAGGATGACTAATTATGTTTTTGATTTTGTGGTATAATCTCAAGAAGTCATTGGCAGAATCATAAAACAGATTCCATCAACTGCTGCCGGATGTGATAATGTTGCTTTTCTTATGATTAGACTGTGTCTCCAGGTCATACTGAATCACATTACTCATATCATAAATGGTTGTTTAGAGGCTGGGTACGTTCCATCCATATAGAAAACAGCCATACTTTTCCCAATTCCGAAAGCTGTTTCTCCATCCAACGTCAATGATCTTAGACTAATCAGCCTATTACCTGTGCTCAGTAAGGTGGTTTATCAGGAAGTACTTTCGTATACCTACAACTAATCATAATATAATTCCATCAAACCAGTCAGGTTTTCGTCCAAAACATAGCACGCTTGCTGCTTTAATGCAAATCAATGATCTAATAATAAAAAAAATAGTCTTACTTAACTTTTCAAAGGCGTTCTATTGGGTGGAACATGAGTTATTGCGTGCTAAACTAAAGCGTTTAGGTTTCACGGATCGATCTGTATCCTTTTTCCACTCGTATTTAAATAATAGGCAGCAGTTCGTTAGGACTAATATCGGTATATCAGATTTTGGTAACGTTTCTACGGAAATTCCACAGGGTTGAATTCTTGAGCCTCTGTTGTATCTCTTGTACACATTTGATATGTCTAAGAAGTCAGATTTTCTCAAATTCATTCATATGCTGTCGAGACCCAGCTATTACACACATTTAACTCAGTTAAGTATGATAACGTCGAAGCTAAAACACAATCTTAAGCTAAATTCTAAAAAAAACACAAATTATGCAATTTGCTCTCCCTAGAAGCTATAATTTTTTGCGTGATCATATTAAAATTCAATTGGAAAATGAAGATCCTAAATTTACAAGTGAAGCAAAAAACTTAGGAGCAATAATGGTCAATTGAGATATAGGGGCCATAATTTATGTAACAAGACATATATATCCCTCAAAACGCTATATGCAACATATATTGAATTTTATAGTGAGAAAAAAACTCTCTGAGGCATGTACCCTTTCTAAAGTTATACACTGTCGGCCATTATACTATCAATTCTTAACCGTTGCTGATAAATCCAGACTACAAAAAATCCACAACAGAAATTGCTCGTTTTTGATTCCCTAGCATCTCTAGCTCTAGCTATCTCATGCATGTACATGCTGGGTTAGATATTCTTGCTGTTGATTGCGCACCCTAAAATCTTGTTTTCCATTTGCCCATCATGTGTTGGAGTAGTTTGGCTGTAGCGGGATCAATCTTATAAATGTCACGAACACTTGTCAGCCAGCTATGCAGCACCTAGTCGAACGCTTTTTTGTAATCTACCAGGTTTCTCCGCTTGGTTCTAGCTTGTTTTGTAATTACCGCATCAGTGATAAGCAGTTCTTTTGTGCCTTGTGTC